TAACATCAGTAAATACTTTGATTTCCGGTCTTCTTGACCATCGCAGCAGCCGTCACCCATCTTTCTCTCTCTTTTCTTACAGAATTATTTAGAAGCCAGAAATTGTTGAGAGAATACAGGAATTTCCAAGGAGAAACTAAGGTGAACTTTATTTTTTTTTTTATCCTCGGTTGTAAAAAAACCTATCCGTGGCCAATTTCTAAGTACGAGTAGCGGTGTAACTGTAACACGCGTGGTCCTTGAATAATTTCTACCGTCTCTGCTGAGTATGAAAGCCCAAATACTTGTCTAAAGTCGGTCCCTCCCTTTCACTATCCTAGTTTCAAAATTCCTAATTCAAAATTCATCTCCCTGGCTGGTGGTTATTCTCAATTTAAATGATCTCACTGGCTAAATGCAGGCCTGGGCTCTGACATGAAGGTTTGTATCAGGCAAAACTTCTGTAACATTTGATGGAAGACGGTGTCCACACACGCCTACATGAGATCATTGTCTGCGTTGAGGGGTCCCCAAACTTGGCAACTTTTAAGACTTGTGGGCCTTCCCACTCCCAGAAATTTCCCCAGCCGGCCATGTTTGCTGGGGGATTCTGGGAATTGGCGTCCACGGCTTCTTTTTTTTTCCATTTTTATAATATATTTTTTATTTTTCAAACAAACAAAATACACAATACACAATACATTTTCCTTAACAAGACTATGTCCTAGCTCTCTTACATTTATTAACAATTATTTACATTACTTCTCTTACTTTTTTAGTCCTTAATTCTAACCAGCTATAATACATGTCCCATACCTCGTGAAATTCAGTAACTTCTTTGTCTTTTATTTCTAGAGTTAGTTTGTTCGTTTCTGCACAGTCTAAAATCTTTCCTATAATCTTTGCACTTGTCGGCACGTTTTCATTTTTTCCAATGTTGCGCATATGTAATACGTGCCGCCGTTATGTATAATGAAGTATTGGAGTCGTTTTTCAATTTTGGGATTAATTATACCTAGTAAAAAATATTTCAGGCTTGAATTCAATTTGTTGTCTTGTTATTTCCAATATCCATCTTCTTATTTGCTCCCAGTAAATTTTTGCTTTGGGGCGTTGCCACCACATATGGTAAAATGTTCCCTCATTGTTTTTTTACATTTCCAGCAATCTGGATTCATATTTTTATAGATTTTGGCCAATCTCGCCACGGGTTCTTAAAAGTTGCCAAGGCCGGACGCCTTCTCTAGATGCAGCTGATTGACTGATCTTGTTCTGTCCCCATCGGACACCCACACCCAAACAGCCAGCCGAGGGTTAAATAACTTCTTCACACTCCAATCCACAGATAAGAAAACTTGGCAGCAGCTCCGTAGCTGCCTGCCAAGACTTTTACTCAGAGAACAAAAAACAATACACACATTTAGAAATTAAGTCCACAGCAAACTACTTCGCCAGAGATTCAGCTTTGTCCGTCACAGAGTCCAAATGGCCACCACCTCCCTTTTATAGCCTGTGGGGTGTGGTCCAGTGACTCAGCTTGATCTCTGGCACGTCTCCTTTTCTGCTGCGCACGCTTGTCGCTCCTACGCTGGCGTGGATCCAGCCACAACTTCTCTTCCTCACTATCCAAAACACCTGGCTCCTGGCCAATCTCAGAACCACCCGGCTCCTGGTCAATCTCTTCTCCGTCGGGAGACACCTGAGGCATTGCCAAAGAGGAGGGTCCTGGAGAGGGAGGCCTAGCCATCTCCTCTCCTTCATGTTCGGAGCCTTCTTCCTCCGATAAGAGGGGCTCACAAGACGGAGCCACAACAGATCTGGTCTGCAGGGTATGAATAAATACAGCCAGGATTTTTTTTGGGAGGGCTTTGCCAGTAGTTTTATCCAAATGAAGCAGTGTGTCAGGTCTGTCCCAGCGTGGGCGTTTAGGAAAGAAAGATCTTCAACTCCCATTTGTAGCGAGAGGCGTAACTTTTACTGGAGCCAAGGTGGGTTACATAAAAGCCAGATCCGAACATTCCTGCGTAAACCCAGTTCTTTTCCCTTCCCCTGGGCCCTCTCCTCTTTCTTGGTTCTTTTGCAAATGTCCGATGGGGTTCAATCCAGTTGTTTGGGGTAACAGTCCTAAAGTTTGGCACCTTTTGCATTCCGTTCTCACGCTTGGTTCCTGGGATCTGCCAGGGTCTGTCCCAGGCTGGCATCTATGCTTCCTGTCACCCTCTCTCTCTCTGTATTCCCTTACTCCTACCCTCTCCCTTTTTTTAAATAGCAGGATGCCATCCAAGCGAAAGCAACGAGATGGCAGATCTGACCGGGTGTTTCTCTCTTTTTTCTTTTCTTTTTTCTTTCTTTATATAGATTTTATTAGTTGTTGTTTTTTAAAACAAATTTTACTGGTTTTCAAATTTTACACGGAGTATTCGGAAAGCAGCGTGGTGACTGGGTAGTCAGTGGTTCAATAACCACAAAATCTTTAGTACCTATTTCAGGGGACATCATCAGAAATGCCTTCTCTATTTCCCTTAGCATTTGTTACCCCTCACATTTAGGCGAATGGATTTTTAATTGTAACAAGATTAATTAAAACCTTTTATCCATCTATTTTTTTGGCTTATACATATCCCTATCCTGTTTTTAAGTTTTACCTAATTTTCAGTTTTTTATTTACAGCTAGCTGTACCCGGCCACGCGTTGCTGTGGCTCGGTCTGGTAAAAGCGTGTGTTGCTTTTACGTCCAACAGGTGGCGCTGTTTTTTTTTAAAAAAAACATGTTTTTACCTGTCACAGGTGTGACATCTATATAATATAGGTGTATAAAAACACGCGCGTATTCGAATGCAAGGTTGTGTCAAAATTTCAAAGCAATCGGTGAAGAACTTTCGGAGATTTAAGATGTTGAACAAACGAACATTTACATTTTTATTTATATAGATATTCCAATTTAACCTTTTAATATCCATAGTGTTTTGAGTTTCAGGCAATCCAGATTTCCTTTATTTCACTACATAAAAGTTGTCCTCTCTAGAACATACGTGTTACTTACTTAAATATATTCTCATCTTATTTCATAAACGTTTTCTATTCCTCATCCTAATACATCATCACTTCGTGATAGAGTGTCCTTTATTGTCTCAAGTCCATCGTCTATATTATTTGGGCTAAACAATAGTTCCTAATCGTTAATTTTCATTTCCCTGGATTTTATTAATTTTTAATAGGGTTAGGGATAGGGTGGGGTCGGGATTAGGACTGGGATTTGGGTTAGGGTTGGGGTTTTTCCAAGTAACATTTTCAGTATTGAGCAAACAGCATAGTGTCTGGGTACATGTATTTAACTAAAAATAATAGATATAGTTAATTATCATAAGCAAGAGGTCAATTAATCACTCAGTAGCCTTCTTACTAATATATATTCAAAATTACATATCACGTTCCTTTCTCTTTTTTTTTTCTAATTGATTATTTCGCAGTCTTCTGCGCTCCTCTTGAACCCAGCTCCCGTCCTCTTTCAGTAAAAGTAACAACTTATTCACGACGGGCAATTCTCCATTCGCTAGGCTTCGTCTCCGTTTGTTTTGCACGGAGTGACAAACTCGTGTGAGGCACAAAGACCTGGCTGAGTTTCGCTGCAGTCGTGTAAATAGTTGGGATTCGCCCTTTATAAATCACAGTTACTACACCTGTTAGCCAACTCGTGTCTTTTCTTTTTTTTAATTTTAAATTTTTATTTTTTAAACCAACAAAACAAGACAAAACATAACACACACACAGTGTGTACTCCTCCCCCCTTTTTTTTAACAGCAATTTCGTAACGGTAATCTTCTATTATTTACATTTTCCCCCCTTATTCTTCTTTAGATATATTTGTCCTTGTTGTCCCGTTGTTTCTTGTTTGCGTTTTTCTTCCTTCATGCTGTACTTCATACTAAAAATAATACATATTATTATTACTATACATTACTATACACACATTTTCCACTTTCGACCTTTCCACATTTATTCTCCAGTCGTACCACTTATTCCATATTAAATAGTACTCTTGTGTCTTCCTTTTTTTTTATCTCTTTTGTTAATTTGTCCATCTCGGCACAGTCCAGGATTTTCCTTATCACTTCTTCCTCTGATGGTATATTCTCATTTTTCCAGAACTGTGCCTATGCTATTCTTGCTGCCGTTATTATATGTAGAATTACCTAAGTACCGTATTTCTTTACTATATTTTCTGTTTAAAATACCCAGCAAAAAAATCTCTGGTTTCCAGTCTACGGGTTGGTCTATTATTTCTTCTTATTTTAGTCCAGTACTAGCTGTACCCAGCCACGCGTTGCTGTGGCTCAGTCTGGTAAAAGCGTGTGTTGCTTTTACGTCCAACAGATGGCGCTGTTTTTTTTTAAAAAAAGCATGTTTTTACCTGTCACAGGTGTGACATCTATATAATATAGGTATATAAAAACACGTGCGTATTCGAATGCAACGTTGTGTCAAAATTTCAAAGCAATCGGTGAAAACTTTCGAAGATTTAAGATTTTGAACAAACGGACATTTACATTTTTATTTATATAGAAGATTTTTTGCTCACGTCTTGACTGGTTCATTAAGACGCCTGGTGGTAGTAAAGGCACGGAGAATGTTTGAAATGTTTGGACACGAGCTTTCATGCTCGGTGGACATAGATTCTATGTCTTTGCTCGGTTGAGTTGGCGGGATCCCTCTTAGAAGGCCTACTCCTTGTAAGAGAGAATAACTCTCCTTGGCTGCTTTTTTCCTCCAGAACCATCGTTTCCAGGTGTAGATCTGATTGATTTTTTAAAAAATTCTAATCGCTAAATCAACGGACGCTCGTTCGGGCGCTCTCTTGCTTAAAAGAGGCCACATCCAAAACCACGTTTGTCTAAACCATTGCCTTGTTTGTGAAATACGTGCAGAGGCGCGTGTGGTTTGTCTTAAACTACATGCTTGTGTCTTTTAATTCAGCCGCGCTCCCGTGCCACAGCTGTTTTTCTGAGCGGACCAGGAAAAGTGGTGATGGTTGCAATTTGTATGTAAGTTTTCTTTTTTTTTTCTTTTTTTCCTTTTTTCCTTTAGGTGTATGCCTCTTAAACATAGACGCTGAAAAGCTTAATCCGGTTTTATTGTGTTGTGTGATGATGTATTGCGTACTGCTGCATCGAAAGTCAGAGTTTTAGTTTAGAAGGAAAGCTTAAAGCAGTGGTTCTCAACCTGTGGGTCGGGACCCCATTTGGGGTCGATCGACCATTTCATGGGGGTCGCCAAGCAAGGCTGTCCGCCATTTTTTTTGTCCGCCATTTTTTCCCCCTTATCCGGCGGGTGCCTTACCTCCCTTGGGCTGGGCCAGCTGGTGGTCGGCCTGCTCCGTCTCTGCCGCTTGCCAGCTACGCCTCGGCCGGCGCAGGGGGCGGAACCACGCATGCGCAGCGCTCCCGGGCAGGGAAAGTCCTCGACTTACGACCGGTTGGGTAGTCCTTGACTTACGACCTTTTTAGTCCTCGACTTACGACCGGTTTAGTCCTCGACTTACGACCGGTTTAGTCCTCGACTTACGACCGGTTGGGGTCGCGGCATTAAAAAGGTTGAGAACCACTGGCTTAAAGGTAAAAGCCTAAGGCCATTTTTATGTCATTAAAAGGCACCAGGAAGCACCAAAGATAATAATAATAGTAATAATAGTAGTAATAGTAGTAATAGTAGTAATAGTAATAGTAATAATAATAATAATAATAATAATAATAATAATAAAAGTTGGAAGGGACCTTGGAGGTCATCGAGTCCAACCCCCTGCCCAGGCAGGAACCCTATACCATTTCGGACAAATGGCTGTCCAGTCTCTTCTTTAAAACTTCCAGTGTTGGAGCATTCACCACTTCTGGAGGCAGGTTGTTCCATTGGTTAATTGTTCCCATGCTTGGAGCAGGGGGTTGGACTAGATGACCCCCCAAGGTCCCCTCCAGCTCCGTTCGGACTAATTAAACCATTTTTCTGCAAATGATTGCATGGCTTTCGTGGGATTATTTAGGAAAGACGCTGCTTTGAGGATTTAGTCCTCACTTGCTGACTGTCTCAGAGAAAGATCCCGTGCAGATGGAGGCTTCCCAGTTTCTGAAAACCAGGGTTTTGGAAAGCAGGAACAAATGTTGGCTAGTATACAGTACAGCAGTAGCCAACATTGTGGAAACCCTTTGGGAAAAGTGTATTTTTGAGGTTGGATGGCTAATAACACCACTTTCTTTTTTGGGAGTAGTACCATGAAATTATATATCAATAGAAAGATAATTTAATCAAGAATGTAATGCAACATAGTTTGTTCAATTATCTGTGCTGTATTCTATGAAAAGTTATAGCCAAATAACCAGAAAAAGGAAGCACAACTTGCTTAGGTTGATCTCAGGTAGCTTTCCTTCACCTGATTGTAGCCAATGAGCGTGAGTGTTTAGAGAGCCAATCGGGTGTCATCTTGTTTTGGCCACGAGCCAATCAAATCACAGGAGGATCCAGTTATTGATCTCACGTATTGAAGCTGAGAGGAGGGCATTTGTCAGTGTGTTATGGGATCGCTATCAAGTTGGTTGGGTTTTTGGGTGTTCTTTCATTGAGTGAGCTTGTCAAACGTAATAAAATTAAAGTCATGGTGCAAAGAGTTGACCGGTCGCCCAGAAAGCGATGTAAAATTGTATTTATTAAGTGAACAAGGCTACAGTTATAAAGAAATGAGAAGAAAAATGGGTGGAAACTTAACCAAAGGTGGCATTTCTACTGTACACTTTCCCCAAAAGGTTTTCCACCATTTTGGCCACTGCGGTATTCCTCATGTGCACCGGTGCTCTTTCCCTCACATAACACAGTCGCGGTGCTGCCCAGATTTATTTCTTCCCTTTTTTTTTTTTTGCAACCGATCTACCGGAGATCTGGTGAAGGCCGGCGCAGACCCGGTGCCAAACGTGGCTAAGCGATAGAAAAATCGAAAGGGATTTATTTGTACTGTCCTGGGACTTTGGAAGCCGCAGTATATTTTGAATTTCTAGGGCTTCGGAGGCTTTCGCGGGTGTCCTGGGCCCAGTCAACTCTTTTGAGAGTTGACACAGCCCGCCGATCTCATTGATCACCAGTCAGTCCAAGAGCATAAGGCTGGCACTCTGCATGTGAGCTTTGGGGAGTCTCGAAAAAATAAGAAACCAAAAGTTGTGACGCGGGTTTTTCTCCTCCTTCCTCCCCAGAAACGGCTTGAATTTCTTCTTCAAGCTGCTTGCGTGGGTTTACACGGGCTCGGCAAGCATGTTCTCCGAAGCCATACATTCCTTAGCAGACACTTGCAACCAGGTAAGTGGGCAGGACACAGTTTTGTGTGTTCTTGGGGATGCGACGCAGCGAGCGGTTTATTTGGACTTTTCAGCAGAACAGAATATCTACAGGGGAGTCCGACCTTGGTGGGTTTTTTTTTTCTTTCCCCTGCAGATGTTTCATCCACCCCACTGGGGAACATTTATCACCATCGTGATCAGGGTTTCTAGATGTTTTGCTTTGAAGGCCAGCTGAGCTCAGCACGCCCCCCCCCCTCAAATCTGTGAGGCAAAGTTGTACATCAGTGAACACGCGGGGACTGTTTGCAAAGATTAAGGAGAGGGTGGTGTTGGTTCAACGTTATACAAAGCCCCAGAGGGCAGGACAAGAAACAACGGGTGGAAATTCATCAAGGAGAGAAGCAACCTGGAACGAAGGAGAAACTTCCTGACAGTGAGGGCAGTTAATCAGTGGAACAGCTTGCCACCAGAAGTTGTGGGTGCTCCCATCGCTGGAGGTTTTTAGGAAGACGCTGGACAGCCTGAAATGGTACGGGGTCTCCTGCTTGAGCAGAGGGCTGGACTAGAAGACCTCCAAGGTCCCTTCCATATTCTATTCTATTCTATTCTATTCTCTATTCTCTATTCTATTCCCTATTCTATTATTATTCTATTCTATTAATATTCTATTCTCTATTCTATTCTATTCTCTATTCTATTCTATTCTATTCCCTGTTCTATTCTATTCCCTATTCTATTCTATTCTCTATTCTATTCCCTATTCTATTCTGTTCTATTCTATTCTATTCTATTCTATTCTATTCTATTCTATTCTATTCTATTCTATTCTATTATTATTCTATTCTATTCTATTAATATTCTATTCTATTCTCTATTCTATTCTATTCTCTATTCTATTCTATTCTCTATTCTATTCTATTCCCTATACTATTCTCTATTCTATTCTATTCCCTATTGTATTCTATTCTCTATTCTATTCTATTCTATTCTCTATTCTATTCTATTCTCTATTCTATTCTATTCCCTATACTATTCTCTATTCTATTCTATTCCCTATTGTATTCTATTCTCTATTCTATTCCATTCTATTCTATTCTATTCTATTCTATTCTATTCTATTCTATTCTATTCTATTCTATTCTGTTATTATTCTATTCCATTCTATTCTGTTCTATTATTATTCTATTCCATTCCATTCCATTCCATTCCATTCTATTCTATTCTATTCTATTCTATTCTATTCTATTCTATTCTATTCTATTCTATTCTAGGTCTTCTAGTCCAGCCCCCTGCTGAAGCAGAAGAACTTATACCATCTCAGACAAATGATTGTCCAGCCTCTTCTTAAAAATCTCCAGGGATGGAGCGCCCACAATTTCTGGAGGCAAAGCTGTTCCACTGGTTGATTGTTCTCACTGTCAGGAAGTTCCTCCTTAATTCCAGGTTGCTTCTCTCCTTGATGAATTTCCATCCATTATTTCTCGTCTTTCCCTCTGGTGCTCTGGAGAATAGTTTAACCCCTCTTCTTTGGGGCAGCCCCTCCAATACTGGAAGACTGCCATCCTGTCCCCCCTAGTCCTTCCTTTCTTTAGACTGGCCAANGGAGAAACTTCCTGACAGTTAGAACAATTAACCAGTGGAACAACCTGCCTCCAGAAGCGGTGAATGCTCCAACACTGGAAGTTTTTAAGAAGAGACTGGACAGCCATTTGTCTGAAATGGTGTAGGGTTCCTGCCTGGGCAGGGGGTTGGACTCGATGACCTCCAAGGTCCCTTCCAACTTTATTATTATTATTATTATGTTTTCTTGGATAGACCGTATCCTTGAAAAATTTGCCCAACTGGGTCTCCTGTTTCGGACATTTTGCCGAAGTCCAGATTCAGTGAAATAACTAGCAGTTTGGGAAAGTAAAGTTGACAATTCTTGGGGCTTTTAAGACCGTCTCGGGCGAGAATTTCTCAATCTTGACAGCTTTAAGCCACCTAGACTGGGGTATAGGCAACCTTGGCTCTTTTAGGACTCGTGGACTTCAACTCCCAGAATTCCTGCTTAGAGAGGGCTGTAAATCACTATGAAGTGATATATAAGTCTAAATGTCATTGCTAACTATCATCTACCTATCAACTATCTTTATCTATCTATCTGGGGGAAAATCCGCTTAAAGAGGGCTATTGCTAGGAATCATTGCCTTTCCCGAGTCCGGATTTGCTTCTAAGGTCTATCCCTTGTTCACTCTCAACGGATTTCCAAATGTGATGGCAGTTAATAATAATAATAATAATAATAATAATAATAATAATAATAATAATAATAATAATAATAATAAAGTTGGAAGGGACCTTGGAGGTCTTCTAGTCCAACCCCCTGCTCAGGCGGGAAACCCTATAGCATTTCGGACAAATGGCTGTCCAGTCCCTTCTTAAAAACTTCCAGTGTTGGAGCATTCACCGCTTCTGGAGGCCGGTGGTTCCACTGGTTAATTGTTCTAACAATTAATCAATTATGCCGCCTTCCGCTCTCCGACATTTCCGTTTTTCCTTCCTGAGTCACAGTGGTGTTTTTCCCCCCTCCCTCCTCCTTCCTTCCAGGTATGGCTTCACAAACATGCGCTACATCGCGTCTCTGATCAGCGGCGTTGGCATCTTCATGATGGGGGCCGGCCTCTCGTGGTATCATGGGGTTATCGGGCTACTCAACCCTCAGCCGATAGAATCCCTTCTCTGGGTACGTTGCGTCGAAAGGTCGGTTTAGCCGGGTGATTTGCGTCGCGATAGCCGTGAAATTCTCTGGTTTCTTTCTTTCTTTCTTCCCTCTCCCTCTTTCATACTCTTCTTTCTTTTCTTTCCTTCCTTTCTTCCTTCCCTCTCTTTCATACTCTTCCTTCCTTCCCTCTCCCTCTTTCATACTCTTCTTTCTTTCTTTCTTTCTTTCTTTCTTTCTTTCTTTCTTTCTTTCTTTCTTCTTTCTTTCTTTCTTTCTTTCTTTCTTCCCTCTCCCTCTTTCATACAGACAGATAGATAGAAATAGAAGAGATATAGATAGGCAGGCAGGCTGGCTGGATGAATGGATAGATATAGATATACATGATAGATAAGTAGATAGATAAAATAGATAAGATAGATATCAATGATAGATAAGTAGATAGATAGATAGATAGATAGATAGATAGATAGATAGATAGATAGATAGATAGATAGATAGATAGACAGATAAGATAGATAGATAGATAAGATAGATATCTAGGATAGATATAGATGATGGATAAGTAGATATATTAGATAGATAGATAGATAGATAGATAGACAGACAGACAGACAGACAGACAGACAGACAGACAGATAAGATAAGATAGAGACAGACAGACAGACAGACAAGATAGATAGATAAGATAGATAGATAGACAGACAGACAGACAAGGTAAGATAAGATAGATAGATAGATAGATAGATAGATAGATAGATAGATAGATAGATAGATAGATAGATAGATAGATAAGACAGACAGACAGACAGAGACAGACAGACAGACAGACAGACAAGATAGATAGATTAGATAGATAGACAGACAGATAAGGTAAGATAAGATAAGATAGATAGATAGATAGATAGATAGATAGATAGATAGATAGATAGATAGATAGATAGATAGATAGATAGATAGATAGATAGATAGATAGGTAAGATAGACAGACAGACAGACAGACAGACAGACAGAGACAGACAGACAGACAGACAAGATAGATTAGATAGATAGATAGATAGATAGATAGATAGATAGACAGACAGATAAGGTAAGATAAGATAGATAGATAGATAGATAGATAGATAGATAGATAGATAGATAGATAGATAGATTAGATAGATAAGACAGATGATAGCTAAGTAGATAGATTAGATAGACAGATAAACTAGATAGACAGACAGACAGACAAACAAACCGATAAACACACACATTCATCCATTCATTCGCAGCCCAAATCAAGCCACTACAGGACGAGGAAACCCTTGGTGCTCTATTACAGCATTTGGGGGAAATAATTGTCATTTTAAGACGGGGAGCACAGTTCCTCTTTAGAGGTCTGAAGCTCGCTGACCGGAATGCCAAAAATACGCAAAAAGGATTTAATCCAGCCTCAAGATTCGGATCGTTGGTGGTATGAGGTATACAGCTTAATATTGTACTACTACAATTAACTCCCGTTTTTGTTTCTCTGTTACTTTCAGGCTTACTGCATTTTGGCAGGATCTCTGGTGTCAGAAGGAGGTAGGTGACCTAGCAGGGGGGGAAAAAAAAATACGTCAAACCTTAACAAAGTATGCAGTTGTTTCCTAGACAAATTGAACACGGCTTAAGCCCTTACGGATAGCAGCACTCTGACCTGTCAGAATACTGTTGGTTAATGTCAATGAATAATAATAATAAAAAAAAACACCAACCAGAAACATTAAAAAGATTATATGAGAATTTATTCCAGCGATCCCCTACGTTGATCTGATTCAAGAAAGCTGACTCGTCGGGAAGTCCGTTTCCCCACAAGATTTATCGACTTAATAGTCAGTCATCAAGAGAAGATGGATAGATTATATTCAGAATAAATATGGGACTAAAAAGTTCCATTTGGTTTTTGAGTATTAAATTTTAGAGTATTATTATTGTTAATATTTTATAATGGTTTATTTTTTCTTTTATTTTTAATTCTTACAATGATATTATTTGTTCATTATTGTGTTTAACTTTAATTTACTTAAATTTATCTAAAAAGGGAGTTAAAGTGCTTTATAGATTTGGTAATTTAGTAGTTGGTTAATGTTATTTAGATTATGATTATTATTTGTTAACCCTGTGAATAGCTCTGGGAAGTGGGGGGGAGGGGGGTTTGGGGGTGGGAGGGGAATAATATTGTAATCTTTATAACACTTTTAATAAAAAAGAAAGAAAGAAAGCTGACTCGTTGGGAAGTCAATTTCACCACAAGACTTATCGACTTAATAGTCANAGACCCAGTTTGTATCCTGGTTGATTATCTGTTGGCCAGTAAGAAAAAGGATGTTAACTTCCTTGATGTCATCAAATTTGCAGGCGACACCAAGCTGGCAGGAACAGCCAACACTCCATTTTTCTGGTGCCGTTGTAACTTCGAACGGTCACTAAATAAAACTCTGGCAAGTTGAGGACTAACCCTGTATTTAACGGTTCCGGGGTTCCCTTCCCATTTTAAGGGGTCACTTTTCTGGATTCTTGTTAACAAAACAAACAAACAAAACAAAACACACACACAGAGAGACCCCAAATCTGGGCGGGTGGGAGTTTGTGACTTTTTTTCCTGCTGTCCCCTTGAATGAAATCGTTGTGTTGATGTTGTTGCAGCTACTCTCCTGGTAGCTATCAACGAAATCCGAAGGAGCGCCCGAGCGAACGGACTCTCCTTCTATCACTACGGTAAGTTGGTTTTCATATGTAGGGTTTCCTGCCTGAGCAGGGGGTTGGACTAGATCAGGGCTTTTTTTGGGGGGGGGGGGGGGAAAGAAATTTTATTGTTTTTTAGTTTTTTAAAACAAAATGCTCAAGACACACCGTGGTGTTAGGGTCGTCAAACATCCAAAGACAAAACATATATACATAATTCAGTCAATGCATCTAATATTCCCTCTCTTTTTCCCTTAAGTAACATAATCTATTTAAAATAGTCCAATTCTAGCTTAAATTTATTCAACCCATACCTGATATTAAAGCTTTAGAAATCTACACTACCATAATCAAATTAGCTTTCAAGTACAAACATCATCAGTTCGGGTATCCCTTCCAAATATATTCTAGTTCCTTGATTTGATCGTAGATCTGATTTAGTTCTTCTTCCACTAATATCCCTTAATTAAAATTAAAATGTGAATCTATCCTATACGTATCTAGTCCATCCATTAATCAACCTCTCTAAGCTGACAGAAGAAAATCAAACCTTAAGTCATTTCGATCCATTAAACAGAATTCACATTACATCCAGTTAATTGTCATAACTAATAACATCCATGTTATCAAACAATCAATAGAGCAGGGCTTTTCAACCAGTGGTACAGGTACCCCCAGTGGTACATTGGCACCTGGCAGGTGGTACACAGCCCTGCCCAGCCTAGCCAAGTGTAGCGGTGGAGGGAACGAGCCAAAACACAGTGTAGGACTTGCTGTGAGAGAGTCCTCAGAAGCTGCAGGGGTAAGTCGAGGGCTACCTGTACTTTATCACTTTTTTCCTTTTTTGGGGGGGGGTCATCAAGTTTTTGACTGGGGTCATCAAGTTTTTGCTTGTCAAAAGGTTGCAAAAGGGGGATCACATGACCCTGGGACAGTGTGACCATCATAAATATGAATCAGTTGCCAAGCATCCAAATATAAATCACATGACCCTGGGCATGGTGCAATGGTCATAAGTGTGAAAAATGGTCATAAGTCATTTCAGTGCAATTGCAACTTTGAACAGAGGTTTTTTTTTGTTGTTGTGGGGCTTTTTTTTTTTTTTTTTTTTGGTCATCAGGTTTTTGACACCTTGCTAGGTGGTACTCGAATATTGCCGTATCCTAAAAGTGGTACAAACGGTAAAAAGGTTGAAAAGCCCTGGACTAGATGACCTCCAAGGTCCCTTCCAACTTTATTATTATTATGGATCATCGCACAGTCAGCCAGATGTTCAGACTGGATTTGGCATTTTGTCTACCTATCCTTACCCAGGACCTGGGATAGGCAGATGTGGATGTTTGATGGTATTACAGATCTCGTCGCGGGATGGAAGCGGTTCCTAGTAAGGCCGCCTTTTGCAATTGACTAATAGCGAATTTGTCAATGCCGATGATGGTGTTCAAGTGGTGCTCCAGTTGTTTTGGGATTGCACCCAAGGTGCCTATTACTATTGGTACTACCCTTGCTTGCTTTTGCCACAGTCTTTCTATTTCTATTTGTAGGTCTCTGTATTTTGTTATCTTCTCCAGTTCTTTCTCGTCTATTCTGTTGTCTCCAGGCACTGCCACGTCCACTGTCCAGACTTTTTTGTCTTTCTTATCGACAATTGTTAAGTCCGGGGTGTTATGTTGCAGGTGCTTGTCTGTTTGAATTCTAAAAGTGGTACAAACGGTAAAAAGGTTGAAAAGCCCTGGACTAGATGACCTCCAAGGTCCCTTCCAACATTATTATTATTATTTGTATTATTATTATTATTATTATTATTATTATTATTATTATTATTATTATTTATTATTATTATTATTATTATTATTAGGCAGGAATTTGTAATATCCATACTTTTCTCTCTCTCTACTGTTTCTTGAAATTGTATCGCAGAGAAGGAAACGATTATCATCATCATCGTCATTATTATTATTATTATTATTATTATTATTATTATTATTATTATTGTTACAGTTAAAATCCAGCATGAATAAACTTGGCGTTGGCGTTTAGGAGAATCAATTGATTGGTATATGGCCTCTCTGAAACTGGATCGGTGCTCTAATTTCTTTCCTTTTTTTAAAAAAAAAGAAAATTGTATCGATTTTCTAATTTTACATTTAAATATTTAAAAAGCAGCGTGGCGGCTGAGTTAATCGACGATTCAATAGCATACAAGTATCTTTAGTACAAATCTCAAACTACCACATTAAGTATTTCCTCTCTTTTCCCCTTAGTATTTACTGTCTCATGTTTAAACTAATAACAATTCTTATTATATCGATTAAATAAAGATAACTTTCTTACATTTATCAATAATTTTTAGGTTCTACATATCCTGGTTATTTTAACATTCCATCTTTATAGACAGTGTCCTAATTAGTTTTTCCAAAGTTTTAGTTTCCCATTAATATATAATTTAACATTTAGTATTTATAATTTCCAAGTTTTAAATAACCCCAGTTCCCTTTATCACAATTCATCGCAAAATCTAATGTTCACTGTACACGTCTTATCTATTTGAATATATTTTATTTCTCACCATCTTACATCAACTGATTAATAATACAGTATAACGTTCTTCTTTTCTGTTAATTGCTCTAATTTCTTTTCCACCTTCAGTTATCCAGGCTTGTGATCCCAGCACAAACGTTGTGTTGTTAGAAGACACGGCTGCAGTTCTGGGCGTGATGCTGGCTGCTACCTGCATGGGGCTGACTTCCTTAACAGGTGAGCCCAGACTGATTTTTTTTTAATATTTTTAATACAGTAGTGGCCAAAATTGTGGAAACCTTTTGGGAAAAGTGTATTTTTGAGGTTTGATGGCTAATAACACCCCTTTCTTTTTTGGAGTAGTACCATAAAATTATATATCAATGGAAAGATAATTTAATCAAGAATGTCATGCAACAAAGTTTGTTCAATGATCTGTACTGTATTCTATGAAAAGTTATAGTCAAATAACCAGAAAAAGGAAGCACAACTTGCTTAGGTTGATCTCAGGTAGCTTTCCTTCACCTGATTGTAGCCAATGAGCGTGAGTGTTTAGAGAGCCAATCGGGTGTCATCTTGTTTTGGCAATGAGCCAATCAGATCACGGTAGGATTCGGTTATTGATCTCATGTATTGAAGCTGAGAGGAGGACATTTGTCAGTGTGTTATTGTGATCGCTATCAAGTTGGTTGGGTTTTTTTGTGTCCTTTCATTTAGTGAGCTTGTAAAATGTAATAAAATTAAAATAATGGTGGAAAGAGTTGACTGGTTGCCCAGAAAGCGATGTAAAATAGTATTATTAAGTGAACAAGGCTACAGTTATAAAGAAATTAGAAGGAAAAATGGGTGGAAACTTAACCAAAGGTGGCATTTCTACTGTACACTTTTCCCAAAAGGTTTCTACAATGTTGGAGTCCTAGTGGACAATCACTTAAATATGAGCCAGTTGTGTGCTGCGGCTGCCAAAAAGGCCAACACAGTGCTAGGCTGCATTAACAGAGGGATAGAATCAAGATCACGTGAAGTGTTAATACCACTTTACAATGCCTTGGTAAGGCCACACTTGGAATACTGCATCCAGGTTTGGTCACCGCAATGTAAAAAAGATGTTGAGACTCTACAAAGAGTGCAGAGAAGAGCAACAAAGATGATTAGGGGACTGGAGGCTAGAACATATAAGGAACGGTTGCTGGAATTGGGGATGTCTAGTTTAACGAAGAGAAGGACGAGGGGGGACAGAATAGCAGCCTTCCAGTATCTCAGGGGCTGCCCCAAAGAAGAGGGAGTCAAGCTATTCTCCAAAGCACCTGAAGGCAGGACGAGAAGCAACGGATGGAAACTAATCAAGGAGAGAAGCAACCTAGAACTACGGAGAAACTTCCTGACAGTTAGAACAATTAACCAGTGGAACAACTTGCCACCAGAAGCTGTGAATACTCCAACACTGCAGATTTCTAAGAAGAGAATGGACAGCCATTTGTCTGAAACGGTATAGGGTTTCCTGCCTGAGCAGGGGGTTGGACTAGATGACCTCCAAGGTCCCTTCCAACTTTATTATTATTATTATTCTTTGCAGCAGTTACAAACATGATGATTACCATCTCCCAAATTAACTCTCATGGCTCCCTTCTCCCAGTAAACAGCCCTTTTTAATGAGTAAATCCAGAATTTATATATGCAGGGGTGAATCCAAGCACATTCTCAGGCCTGCGTTTCGAGCGTCACAAAGAGGATTCTCCTCCAGCTTAATTCAATCTACTCAGACAGCTTAACAAATAGAATAGAATTCTTTGCTGGCCAAGTGTGATTGGACCCGCACAAGGACTTCGTCTCCGGTCCAGAAGCTCTCAGCGTACACACAAGCAACGTGGGATCATCACAATTATAATCATAAAATACAATCGTAAATCATAGATACCACACTCAGTGATAGCCATAGGATACTAAAGCAATCCGCACAAATCATCATAGGATACTAAATAAAAGCAATCAGCATAAATCGTGAGATAGAACAACAAAATATACTCATAGGAGATTCTAGGTGGAATTTTCCTCCAGTGGGATTTTCCCATGCATTTTACCAGGAAACATAGATAGGGCATCCTAGAAAAGTCAGTGCCCTCCTAACCATACCCAAGCACTCCGAATTTGTTGGCGATGTCCATTTTGCTCTCTTGAGTTCATGGTGACCTAACCCTAAGTGGAATTTTCCTCCAATGGGATTCTCCCATGTATTTTACCAGGAAACAGAGATAGGGCAGCCTAGAAAAGTCAGTGCCCTCCTAACCATACCCAAGCACTCCAAATTTGTTGGCGATGTCCATTTTGCTCTCTTGAGTTCATG